GATTCTCCCAAAAAAGTTTTATCTCAGGAGTAACTTCAGCTTCCTCTGGTTCCTCAACATTCTCGCAGTTGAGACCGGTGAGGTGTTCAAACTCGCTGAGTGATAACCTCAGTGGGGTTGCATTTATGAGACTCCATATCTCATACTTTTTACACATATATGATTTTTTAATTAACGGTAAAAAAATTATTAGAGAGTAGACTTCTCCAAAACGTCTACTTGAGAAGTCTACTCGAGAAGTCTACTTAAATTGCATTTTAAACCTTCAAATAATAAATCACTAACACTTTAAACCTCGAGAGATTTGCACTCTCACTTTTAACCATCAAACTACAAAAACTTTCACTTAAAACCATCAAATTAACTATTAAATTTGTGATTTCGAAAAAGTTAACAGAATGGTTAACTCCGTTAATAGAATTTTTTTTAAAATCTTTATATAATTATTAAAAAACATTAATTCATTAATTTATTATAATAATTAAAAACAAAAACAAAAAAAAATCTCTCTTTTCTCGTTTCCTCCGACGGTGCTACCTTCTTCCCCCATTGCTCATTTCTCCAGATCTAATTTCAGTTTCTTTCGAAATTCTATAATTCAATTTGAAATTTGGTTCTTAGATATTTAACTTATACCTAGATCAAAGAGAGAATGATTCAGCTGTGTGGATTACTGAACCCAATACTGCAGGAATCAGATTGGGTATAGTAGCTCTGGCAATGAACACGGAACACCGGATTTAAATATATGTCTTATTCACTCTCATCCTATTTTGAAGCCCTAAATCTCTAATTCTAAGTTTGATAGTCATCTGAAATAACACGAGATTGTGTGTGTTGCACAAAAAAAAACATGAGATTGTGTTTTAATAAACGAATTGAGATGGCGTCCCCTGTGAGGAATTGATACGCAGGAAGAGAAAACGCATGTGTCGTTCTTCCCGCTCAATGTATGGGTGATGGCTCAATCTTCGTGTGACGTTCTAGCAATGAATCGTCGGAGTTGGCCTGAGACTAGAAAAATCTCAATGACAATGGCGGATTTATTAGCGGCGGTGAAACTTAAACTAGCAAACATCAGTGAGAGGAAATACGGCGGATCTGTAAAATTTGATGACTTGTTGAAGGATGTGGTTGTTGAGATCGTGAAAAAAATTAGGAAGAATTGTCATTATTGGTAGCAGGATGGAGAACACGAAAGAAGAGGAAAAAAAAGATTTTGTTTTTTTTTATTTCTTTTTTGTAAATAGTAAGTAGATTATTACAAATAAATAATTTAAATGGATTTTGAAATATAAAATTAATAATTTTGTTAACGGAGTTAACCGTTCTGTTAATATTTTTGGTGGAGCAAAATTAATAAGTCATTTGATGGTTTTAAGTGTAAATTTTATTAGTTTGATGCTTAAAAGTGAGAGTGTAAATCTCTCATGGTTTAAAGTGTTAGTGATTTGTACTTTGAAGGTTTAAAATGCGATTTTTCCTATTGATTTCTATCCTAAATTATCTATGATTGATTTAAATTGATTATTTTGTATCAAATTTTATTTTTAATAGGTGTAAAAAGTATATGTTTTGTTATGTATATAATTATTTTACCAAATTATTTTTCATTATTTTTTTAATTAATGGTAAAAAATTATTAGAGAGTAGACTTCTCCTATCGTCCATTCTAATAAATATGTACAACAAAGTTTTAGCAAAAAAATAATAAATACACAATTTAAACAACTCCAATCAACTTGCATAATATAGAAGTGGAACCTATAGTGTGCATTTCTGTTAAAACAAGTATATCACTTGAGTTTCGACATAGTTCTAACGAGTCTAATTTGATTCTCGCTAACCATAGTGCCACCAACAAGCTCATGCACATGTCTATCTCGCTGACAAGTATTTCAACAAAGTGATGCAGTTAAAGATAATACAATCGATATTAAAACCAAATCAGACTGGAGATTATTCAAAAATCATCAATGTGACCAAATTCATGATTACTACAAAAATTAAAACCACCTCGTTTTCCTACTCATTGTGCGGCTTTGCAGGAGGTTGAATCACAAAGTAATTATATCGTTCAAACTCATTTGTAATTGAAATAAAGACCATATGGACTATAAATATATATGGTGGTAATTCACATTTGCTATATAGCAAAATTCACACTGAAAGAAAAGAAAAAAAATCAAATCACCTCATTAATCCTAATCTTATCGGGCGAATTATATTGGCTTTCAAAACTATGATCATGTTGCTCCTCATCTCATCCATCATATACAACAAAGTTTTAGCAAAAAAAATAATAAATACACAATTTAAACAACTCCAATCAACTTGCATAATATAGAATTGGAACCTACAAGAGCTCAACATGCATTTCTGTTAAAACAAATATATCACTTCAGTTTCGACACAGTTCCGACAAGTTTAACTTGATTCTCGCCAACAATAGTGCCACCAACAAGCTCATGCTCATGTTTATCTCCCTGCCAAGTATTTCAACAAAGTGATGCAGTTAAAGATAATACAATCGACATTAAAACCAAATCAGACTGGAGATTATTCAAAAATCGTCAATGTGACCAAATTCATGATTACTACAAAAATTTAAACCACCTCGTTTTCCTCCTCATTGTGCGGCTTTGCAGGAGGGTGAATCACAAAGTAATTATACTGTTTGCTCCACTGGATATTCACGGTAGTGTAGTAGTTATTAAAATTTCTCCAGTCTTTGTTTTTGTGTTTGCTTTGTTAACATGTGCTTCTCTTTGGCTTTTCTGCCCGGGATTTAGGCATCATTTCCGGCTTCTTCAGTCCCAATTGCTTGAAGAATGTATCAGGAAGATTAAATGCGACAGCATCATAGCATATACATGGCACATGTGAAAAAACCATACGCGACTGAGTTGCGTACTCCTTGGGCAATTCAGCTTTCCCCTCGGGAATAGTATAAGGCTGCCAATTAACCTATGAAAATATAATCAAGTATTTGATTTAAAACAAATATACATAACCATTTAAAGATGAGTGCTTTTGTTTAAAAGGAGAGAGTATAGTGCCAAAGAGACAGTGATCCGATGGAGGATGCAAAATGGTGGGGGCTGAGAAGTGAGGTGGAAGTCCAAGAAAAGAATAATTCTGGAGCAGGTCGAGGAAGGGAACAAGACAAATGGAAATCACTCTCAAATGGTTGGCTAAAATGTAACACTGATGGGGCCATTCTTGCTATACGCAGGTTTGGTTATCAAGAAGTGGTCTTTGAATCAGATGCAAGGCGGCAATCACTGCAGTAGCAAGAGAAATGCCAAATCCTAATATACACCCTCTAATACATGCCTTTCTAGAGCTTTTATCCCACATCCCCTAGGCTTATGTTGCATTACATCCTAGAGATGGCTAATAGATAGGTAAGAAGTCTCTTTCGTTTTTGGATTATGACCCTAGGCTGTATGCTATTTTGCCAAGTTGGAACAAACAAATAGTATGTATAAGCGTTGTATCAATCTCTTGGAGTAATGAAAAGTGGATGTTGAGGCCAAAAAAAAAAGAAGTAATGAAGTATTACCTCATCTTCCTTCATGTTTTCAAACATGCCTCGATATTCGTCCACATTCTTTACTTCACAGGTTTTTGTACCTGGTTTTGTATACATCTATCCACCCCAACATTAAAGGAAAACTAGATGGTGGAGATACTTCACTTCGTAAGACAGGAAAATGCTCTAATGCAAATACCTATAAAAAAATATAAAGAACAACAATTGTCAGTAATCATCATTCACGTAATCAAAGTAATTAATTTTTGTTTAATTTAAAGTTTTTACCTGCAGAGCATAAGAAAAACAATATATGGTTGTGGTTTTTTTGTTCAAGAAGTTTTTCCTTCACTGCATCTAATGATGTTTTGAGGACAACAAATATTGCTGCGCCCCAAGCATATTTGTTGACCTTCTCTTTTTTTTAGGAGTGGTATAAACATTGTAGAAATACCTCCGGTATTGTTAGGAATAACCACAGTTCCCAACAGGAACAAAATATATTCCATAAAGTAAGGCTCTAAATCCAGATCATCATTATCCTCTAGCACCTTTTCAATGTGAGATTTCAACTTTGTAGTATCGATGAAGTAGGATTTACCTTTTGTCTTTCTAAGAAACAATGCGTTAGCATCATTCACACTTATTTTTAAATATCTTGTAATTGCATCTACAACTTTTTCGGACTCATATCATGATACATGTACCAATTGAGCATATAATACATAACAAATGATAAATCCGGTAATGAAGTAAAGTTCAAAAGAAATACTTGTACATGTACCAATTGAGCATACACTAAATAACAAATGACAAATCTGGTAATGAAGTAAGGTTCAAAAGAAATATATGCTCGCCATTGATGAAAAGTCCAGTAATATACAAAACGTCTTCGAGGCCAAAATCAATCTTGAAAACCCCTTTCCCTTTTTTAAAGCAAAAAGCATGATGTTTAAAATCATAATAGTGCAGCAATCCCGTAAGAAGTGGTAAATTTTGTCTCTTGTGATTTCTTCCACTAGGCGAGATACATGTTTCAAATATTTTTTAAAGATTGGAAGAAATCACAATAGGCAAAATTTACCACTTCTTATGGGATTGCTGCACTATTATGATTTAAAACATCATGCTTTTTGCTTTAAGAAAGGGAAAGGGGTTTTCAAGATTGATTTTGGCCTCGAAGACGTTCTGTATATTACTGGACTTTTCATCGATGGCGAGCAGATATTTCTTTTGAACCTTATTTCATTACCAGATTTGTCATTTGTTATTTATTGTATGCTCAATTGGTCCATGTACAAGTATTTCTTTTGAACTTTACTTCATTACCGGATTTATCATTTGTTATTTATTTATGCTCAACATGTACATATATCAAGATATGAAAAAGTTGTAGATGCAATTACAAGATATTTAAAAATAAGTGTGAATGATGCTAACGCATTGTTTCTTAAAAAGACAAAAGGTACATTCTACAGCATCATTACTACAAAGTTGAAATCTCACTTTGAAAAGGTGCCAGAGGATAATGATGATTTGGATTTAGAGCCTTACTTTATGGCATATCTTATGTTCCTGTTGGGAACTGTGGTTATTCCTAACAATACCAGAGGTATTTCTGCAATGTTTCTACCACTCCTAGAAAAAAAGAAGGTCAACAAGTATGTTTGGGGTGCAGCAGTGTTTGCTGTCCTCAAAACATCATTAGAGGCAGCGAAGAAAAAACTTCTTGAAAAGAAAACCACAACCCTATGTGGTTTTTCTTATGCTCTGCAGGTAAAAACTTCAAATTGAACAAGAATTAATTACTTTGATTATGTGAATGATGATTACTGACAATTGTTGTTCTTTATATTTTTTCTTATTGGTATTTGGATTAGAGCGTTTTCCTGTCATACGAAGTGAAGTATCTCCACCATCTAGTTTTCTTTTAATGTTGGGGTGGATAGATGTATACAAACCAGGTACCAAAACCTGTGAAGTAAAGAATGTGGACGAATATCGAAGCATGTTTGAAAACATGGAGGAAGATGAGGTAATACTTCATTGCTTCTTTTTTCGCCTCAACATCCACTTTTTATTACTCCAAGAGATTAATACAACACTTATACATACTATTTGTTTGTTCCAACTTGACAAAATAGCATACAGCCTAGGGTCATAATCCAAAAATGAAAGAGACTTCTTAACTATCTATTAGCTATCTCTAGGATGTAATGCAACATAAGCCTTGGGGATGTGGGATAAAAGCTCTAGAATGGCATGGATGGGTGTATGTTAGGATTTGGCATTTCTCTTGCTACTGCAGTGATGACCACCTTGGCATCTGATTCAAATACCACTTCTTGATAACCAAACCTGCGTATAGCAAGAATGGCCCCATCAGTGTTACATTTTATCCAACCATTTGAGAGCGATTTCCATTTGTCTTGCTCCCATCCTCGACCTGCTCCAGAATTATTGTTTTCTTGGACTTCCACTTCACTTCTCCGCCCCCACCATTTTGCATCCTCCATCGGTTCACTGTCTCTTTGGCACTATACTCTCTCCCTTTAAACAAAAGCACTCATCTCTGTATGGTTATGTATACTTGTTTAAAATCAAATACTTGATTATATATTCACAATTTAATTGGCAGCCTTATACCATTCCTGAGGGGAAAGTTGAATTGCCCAAGGAGTACGCAACTCAGTCGCGTATGGTTTTTTCACATGTGCCATGTATATGCTATGATGTTGGCGCATTTAATCTTCCTTATATATTCTTCAAGGAATTGAGACTGAAGAAGTCGGACATGATGCCTAAATCCTGGCCAGAAAAGCCGAAGAGAAACACATGTCAACAAAACAAACACAAAAACAAAGACTGGAGAACTTCTACACTACCGTGAATACCCAGTGGAGCGAACGATATAATTACTTTGTGATTCAACATTCTGCAAAGCCGCAAAATGAGGAGGAAAACGAGGTGGTTTTAATTTTTGTAGTAATCATGAATTTGGTCACATTGACGATAATTGAATAATCTCAAGTCTGACTTGGTTTTAATGTCGATTGTATTATCTTTAACTGTATCACTTTGTTGAAATACTTAGCAGGGATATAGACATGTGCATGAGTTTGTTGGTGGCACTATAGTTAGCAAGAATCAGGTTAGACTTGTCGGAACTGTGTCGAAACTGAAGTAATATATTTGTTTTAACAGAAATGCACGTTGAGCTCCCGTAGGTTCCACTTCTTATTATGCAAGTTGAATGCAGTTGTTTAAATTGTGTATTTTTTTTTTTTTGCTAAAACTTTTTTTACATATTTATTAGGATGAACGAGATGAGGAGCAACATGATCATATCTTTGAAAGCCAATATAATTTGTCTGATATGATTATGTTTAATGAGGTGATTTGATTTTTTTTCTTTTCTTTCAGTGTGAATTTTGCTAGATAGCAAATGTTAATTACCACCCTATATTTATAGTCCATATGGTCTTTTTTCAAATACAAATGAGTTTGTTTCTGAACTTAACAAGATTTACAGGCAGAATCCACGAGACAAGATATGTCTACCAGTGATTTGTCTCTTAATGAAAATGAGAACATGGATGAAGCTTCGCTGGAAGCTGTTCATCATTCTGGTATCTCTGCGGTGATTTTGATTTTTTGAATGCAAATGTGAATTACAACCCTATATATTTATAGTCCATATGGTCTTTTTTTTCAAATACAAAAATGAGTTTGGTTCTGAACTTAACATGATCGACAGGCGGAATCCACGAGACAAGAAATGTATACCGGTGATTTGTCTCTTAATGAAAATGAGAACATGGATGAAGCTCCACCGGAAGCGGTTATTCATTCGAATCTTGATATCTCTGAGATGATTTTGTTTTTTTTTTTAATGCAAATATGAATTACCACCCTATATAATTATAGTCCATATGGTCTTTTTAAAAATACAAATGCGTTTAACTTGATTTACAGCCGGAATCTGTTGAATCAGTTGATCAAAGTGAAAACGGGGAGGGAATTGGAAGCCATCCATCTCGACGTCGCAAAAGAGCAAGAGAGAATGAAGGAGTTGGTCAACCTCTTACATTTGATCCTACGGAAAATCAGAAGAAAGTAGAAAATTAGATTTATAGCCGCGATTTTGAAGATGAAGCAGAAACCAAAGAAGCGAAGGTATGGGTAAGGCTACGAATGGTTGAATATGGTCCTGCTCGTTGTATTGTTTAACAATATATGTGTGAGAGAGAGAGAGATCAAATTGGGCCAGCTGGCGTGTCAACGTTTGTGCTACCTTTGTTTAATTTTTGATGTCACCAGGCGTAAGAAACGATGGCTTCATTTTTTTAGGTTTGAGCAATCAAACTCTCGGCCTGTTAATTATATTTTTTTAAACGTTTTTCTCATGGCTTGCCATCATTGAGTCTATTATATATATATCTATCGTACGTATCCTGATGTTAATAAGTACTGAATATAATAAAAAAATATTTATTCTATTCTATATATTTAAAGTAATACCTTGCTGAAAAAAAATTATATTTTATTAATATTGAGCATGTCTATATCCTAAAACATAGTCTATTCTATACATTCTAATATACGTTCCATTTTATAGTGTTTCCATTATATATTTTATAAGTTCTATTCTATATGTCCTAAATATATTATATAGCTAGCTGGTTTCGTCAATTCCCTCAGCACTTTGATTTTATTAAGTTTTTTTTACAGAGATATGAATAAATGTTTATCACTGATTTCTAAATATATAATTGTGGAAGTCAATTCAGTACGCATGTTGAATGTTATTTTCTTACACTTGTCCTCCTGCTTATTTCAATGGTTATCTTAAAAGCTGGTCTTTTGTGTTCATTTTGGCGTACCATTACTACTTCCTTTTGTTCAACATAAGCGTGAGGAAACGCCTCACGGAGATTACTATGCTCGCATGCATGACCTCAGCATTTGATTTTTTTAAGTTGTTTTTTACAGAGATATGAATAAATGTTTACCACTGATTTCTAAATATACAATTGTGGAAGGCAATTCGACACGTATGTTGAATGTTATTTTCTTGCACTTGTGGATCCTGCTTATTTCAATGGTTATCTTGAAGGCTTGCCGTTTGTGTTCTTCTTGGCGTACCATTAATACTTCTTTTTCTTCAACATAAGTGTGAGGCGTTACTATGCTCGCACGCATGACCTGGTAGGTCTAAGTTTTACCTAATTAATTTAGTACTGCAAGTGCACAGCAAAACAGTTGCAGCACAAAAGGTTATCGAATCCCAAAAGAGTAAGCTACTATATTATAGATTTTAGATTCAGATTAAGCTAAGCGGTAAATAATGAATGTAATGTGAAATAATTAAATAGAAGAAAGCAAGCGAATTTTGTTTATTGATCTAAACTTCAGAAAGCTAAAGGTGTTAAGTCAGGATAATTCTCAGGTTGAATCTGAGAATGTAGAATGCATGCAATCAGGAATGAGTTAAAACCGTCTTGAACTTGAAACACAATATTATAACTAATCAATTCTCATTGCAGATGTTATATATGCCTAATTCACAGAATTTCAAATCTCTTTGCAAATTCTAACAAGTCAAGCAAGCATTGAAGATCAGGTTTCGATTGTTCACGAAACTCCTAAGTCAAATCTCTTTGCAAGTAGGCATTTTGCTCAACTAATACTAGTTCAAATGATTAACTATGTTCTCACATCTATTAAACAACCTAGGGTTTCGAAATCTAGATGATCAGTCTTAGAATCGATATGAATGCAAGTATAGATGAAGAACCAATGGATTTTCTAACAGTTTAGCAATTCTACAAAATCTTCATCAACCCTTAAATCATCCTAAGTCTGCAGCTAGTGACGCTCGTCACCAGGTTGTGACGCTCGTCACCCCTCCTTGGCGACCATCTAGGTCGCCACCACTTTGTCAAGCCACTCGAATTTTTTTTTTTTACTATTAGAAGAACGAAACTAAGCATGTGTACATGAATTAAATGACTTACCAGTGGGTTGCCTCCCACCAAGCGCTTGTTTAAAGTCATTAGCTCGACTTTGAATGCTGCTCAGACAGCTGGTGAAGCAGAAAGTGGCAGTGATGCCTTGGAAAAGAATGTCTCTTCATCCATGGTGGTGTATAAGCACTAGGTGCATGAACTCTTTCCAAGAAAGTGAGGAACATCAGCAGTAGGGACACTTCTTTTTCCTGCAGAATCATCAAAAGAAGCACCAAGCTTTCTACGAGAATCTCGTTGCTTGCATAAGTGTGAAGCAGCTTTTGAGTTCTTATTGATGAGATTAGGAGGTTTCTAATTGGTTCCAGGAACTGCATACATTTGCTTTGTTGGAGGTTTCTGGTCTGTAGAATGTTGAATTTTTGGTTAAGCAACATATGATGGACTTGCAGCGTAAGGATCAAGTCGCACCTTTGTGCCAGGATTGGTGACGATCGACACCAAGTATTCAGTGACAATCGTCACTGATCCTGCAGCTCGAGTTTCTGCAATTTTCCTGCAGTTCAGCTCTGCAATCCTTGCCTCCATCACAAACTCGTCTTCCTCCAACAACTTGTCATTGGATTGGAACCTCTTTCTCGAGCCTAGTCTTGAAGATATAATCTTCACTCCAATCGTCAAACGCAACAGCTTTCGCAGAAGTTTCAGATATTGCCCCTTAAACAGCCAGCATGTTCACTTGCCCACTAGTATCTGATTTATTGACATACTCATACAAGACTTTTTAGGACTTGATTCAATCACCCAAGCTTGTACTAATCAGTTGTAGTATAGCATAGAGTTTTTATCAATCCAAAAGGGGAGAATGAAGCAGTAAGAATGCAATAGAGCTCTTAATTCAAGCAAACAAATATTCTTTTAAAGTCTAACAACCTAAAGGATCAAACAGAAAT